ATTTGATGCCATTCGTTCATTGCCTCTTAGACCTCTTATTCAGCGCAATCATGTGGTCACTACTGTTCAGGAATATATATGCTACGGTCTCCAGTGGTAATCGCCTGAACCATTAAGCACCGAATTACCAGGATGGATTATATACTCATGAATCGCTAACGTCTACCATGAACAAAGAAAGCGCTTCAAAGAGGGTCTGATGAAATGAGGGTCAACGGCCTTTGAGATCAGAGTGGAATTTTGTTGAGGGTAAGAACGTTCTGATTTCTGACCAGTACCAAAGAACTGGGGGCTGCTGCAGTCCGCGTTTCCATGAAAAAAATGCTCGTTAAATCATTTTCTTCCTACGTCTGCATTTTCACAACTAACGGCAAAACGTGTGATAATTGATCGATGATATTGATAAATGATAAGATCAAAGATAGAATCAAAGAAATTCAATTCATAAAAAATTCGAAATCTTGTAAGTTGACGCGTCATCCCGCTAGGCATAGCAAGAAAAATATTCATTTGCTTAACGATTTACTATTAGATCAAAATTGAAAAGAATATTCGGAGGAATTTAGACGGATTTGAATACCCTTGAACAACTAAGCAATCAGATGAGAGAGAAGAAACATGAAATTATGATGATTACCATACAGTCTCATCTCTGAATAGAAAATATTTTTATGTTTATGGTAGCATATAAAGAATACCACCTTCTGAAGCATCTTATAAAATGGGCTCTGGCTGGCGCAGCGAACAAAGTGATTCGAGATGCATCTGGCACTGCAACTACTAAAATACCATGAAGCTGTAGTGTATTTAAACTCCCCCCACACCTCCGCCCCCTACGTAGGCAACTAGGAGAAAAACGGTGGTCCCATATCTGCTGCAAGAGGAAATCTGCGTCATTAATTAAATGATGAGATATGAATGCAATGGAACATCTAAATTATGTCTATCCTATGCATAGAAAACGTAGTAACGTCTTGTGCAGTTACATGCAAGTTTGATTTATTTGGACCTCACGGATCTGTTCACTTTATCATGCAGACTTCAGTGGAGATTTTGCACGAGAAAATTAATCGTGTTTCGTATTTGCATGTGATCTTGAACTTCAGCTTTAAGAAGAACACTAGCAAAAATCCGTCTAGTTCATAAACGTATAAATTTCAATTGCAACTCAAGCATATCACAGACTGATAGCAAACTTCATGTTATTTGTGCAGTGCTCTGAGAGCCAGACTTGTCCATTTACTTACATCTACAATTTTCAGTTATCATTTGACTTGACTAGTAAACCGGAAGTAATTTAAATTCGTTTTTCTTCAACTGTGCAGTACACCGTTGATCGACGATTCCTACTGTCCATACTGTTCCACTGCTGTGATTGATGGAGGAGTGTAGTCGAAAAATTAGCATCTGGCAACAGCCACCTCGCTGAACTGGTCCGTTATGCCTGTGCCAGTGACTAGCAAAAAAACTATATCGTGGATTTCTCAACGCCGGTTTATTTGCATTGAGATCTGCTGTCTTCCAGCGGTTCCAACGGTCCAATCAGAGTTCGAGAGATGAGCAAGAACGCTAGCATAATCCTCTTCTGTTGAAACAGCCGCTTCTCTCATCGACAGAGGTCTTTGGAACGACAGGTAGATTAGGAAAAGCTATGTAGGGAATATAAGAAAAAAATGTTTCATACTGAATGATGGAAACTACCTGCTTTGCATACTTTTCAGATTGGCACCCGAATCAGAATCGTTGCGAGAGTCGGCCTCCTTTTCCTTCAACCGGAATGCTAAAGGTATGTACTTTATTAGTACAAGCACTAATAGGAGTTTTGACAGA